TATGGAGAATCCAAAAGGGGATTTTTTTTCTGGACATTGGCCTACTTAGCCGTACAAATTGCTGAGTCGGTTTTAACAGAAACAAGTTCACGGAAATTCCCACATTATTATACACTTATCTTATCGCCCACTTTTACTTCATAGTAAAATCTCTTTTGATACAGACTTAAAAAGTTTTCACCATGATTGTTTTTTTACTAAGAAGACAACGGGAAAAAATTAAACCCGGGTAGTTCATGTAATAAGAGCATCAATTTTGGCTTCAAACGGCAAACTGTTTCTTTTATTTGAGAACCACCAGAGGTAACTTCACACATGCTTATTAGAAAGTTGAAAACAATTTGTGGCTTTGGAATCAAAGAATATTTCTAGAAAAAATATATGAACCCAGCCTTATTTCATTGGTTGTTTCATCAACACACAACAAAAAAAGTAAAATATTGTTACAAACGTGTGTATATTGTATAACAAATAGATTTTTTTTCTTCAAATTTATTTTTCTCTAACGTTTATTCACCGAATCGTTGAATTTCAGGCCGTGACGATACCAAACCGCTACGCGATTCGGCTGGCCCACTGTCCCAGTGACAATGGCCAGGAGGAGGATCGAATATAATTAAATAAAGCAACAAGTCGATTAGATTCTCCAAAATTAGGGAAATATGGCGTTGGACCGAACAGTTAATTTACAATCACAAGTTAATAAAACTACCCTGAAAATTTACTCTATCAACCTGGATTTCTCAATTAACGTTCTTCGATCTACATTGGGTTTGGTAATTTGAAATTTCGAACGACTCGACTCGGTGGACAGACACGGAGGGAGGCGTGATGTCGAAGCGACAAAGCGAGAATGGGCGGATTCAACGAGCACAGACCACCCGACACGCCCGCGCGATTGACTGAAAAACTACACTGGCAACTTCTAAAGCCGTCATCAAAAGGACTTGTTAAATTGTAAAATTTCCTCTTTGGGAATGATGATAGTTCGGTCTTCGTGGATAGTAAGGCCAAAATGATCAGAAACTACCAAACATGATTTGAATCATTTTTAATACACACGTCTTGTTGGGTAACAAGGAATTTTTTTTTCTCCATCAATCACCATCATATTTTTACTCGGATTAAAGTATTCCGGTTGAACCCTCAATAAAGCAATTGTGACGAATCTGCTGACCAATTAAATTTAACCGTGTTATACAACAATAGGTAAATGATCAATTATTGGGATTTGTTTTACCACTTCTGATTTCTTTGGGACGCAAAGCGATGAATAACAGTATATAAAAAGTCGAAATAATAAGAGAACAACAATATAAATTAATGATGATGTTCTTTTAGGATAAAAAATTAATCTATTTACATATTCCCATTCACAAATCACCAAGAAGCACAAGTAACCTAGTTTCTTACACTTTATCGTGTTTTGGACCTAAATTCAAAGAGGTTCAAGTTTGGAAAATTAAGCATAATTTGATGTTTGTCATGATTCTGGTCAAATATTTAATTAAAAAAAAAAAAAAAATGGAATTTGCCATTTTGGCCAGTATTGTAAAAATCAAAGGAAAGTTTATCCTGGGATCCATAATGGAAATAAGCTGAGTTGGAACTAAGTACAATAAAAACTTAAACTTCATTTCAATTTCAATGAATTTTTCAAATTCAGATATTTCAAAATGATAAAAAAAAACTTCATTTAAAGATTCAGGTAAATTTTCAGTTATAATCTGGTCGTTTCGTTCAATTTGGCCTAACGGCTTCTCGCTGGGTCCGTCCTAGGCAGGTTGGTCGGGAGAGGAAAACTGACAAAGTTTTGGTTACTTGGGGAACTGGGAAGCCAATCGAGAAGAGACATAAAGACACAGCAGGAACACCAAAAAGTCATTATATTCAAATTAACCTTTTTGTATATTTTTCCACATATACAAATCATATCATTTGTATCATTTTTATTTTCTAATTAACCTTTTTTCGCTTAAAATGAACCCTTTTTTACTTCAAATGAATTATTTTTAACCTCAAACTAACGATTTTTAATTTCTAAGTAAAGGTTTTTTTAAACTTCAAATTAACATTTTCAATTTTTAGATTAACCCGTTTTAACTACAAATTAACAATTAAAATTTGTTTATAAAAAGCAAAAACCTAGGAGTTAGTTTGAAATGTAAGCACGTAAAGTAAAATTTCTGCATTTAAAAAATAGAAAAATTAAAATTCTTTTTTACTCAAATTAGCCATTTTTAATTTTTAAGTAGAGGTTTTTTTAAACTTCAAATTAACATTTTCAATTTTTAGATTAACCCGTTTTAACTACAAATTAACAATTAACATTATTTATAAAAAGCAAAAACCTAGGAGATGATTTGAAATGTAAGCACGTAAAGTAAAATTTCTGCATTTAAAAAATAAAAGAATTAAAATTCTTTTTTAACTTCAAATTAGCCATTTTTAATTTCTAAGTAAAGGGTTTTTTATTTCAAATAACATTTTCAATTTTTAGATTAACGGTCTTAACTACAAATTAACAGTTAACATTTGTTTACAAACAGTAAAAACTTAGGAGATGGTTTGAAATGTAAGCACGTAAAGTAAAATTTCTGCATTTAAAAAAATAGAAAAATTAAAATTCTTTTTTAACTTCAAATTAACCTTTTTAAACTTCAAATTTACCATTTATAATATGATTTTTTTTTTAAATTTCAAATGATGTTTAACTAAAATTGATACAAGGTTAAATGTAAAACTATCGGGTTGTCCGGAAAATAATGCAGGATTTTAAGTTTTCATTAAAAAAAATCTATATAAAATATTCTGTTTACGTTTACAGGATTACTCATTTGTATGAATGTCAACACTTATTAATCCTCTTCCAAATGATATTGTTTGTTTACCTCTGTAGCATTCCGCTACTTGGAAATAATTCAGTCATCCTTATAATGTCAAAGCGAGAATTTCGTACGATTTTCTTTTACGAGTTTAAACTCGGCCGAAGCGGAGCCCAAACGGCTAGAAACATTAACCAAGTCTGGGGCGAGGGTTGTGTTAATGAGTGCACTGTGCAAAGGTGGTTTAAAAAATTTCGGGAGGGAGATTTCAGCCTTGAAGATGAAGAAGGTCGTGGAAGGCCTTCCTCTCTTAATGATGATGTTCTGCGATCAGTGGTGGAAGAAAACCCCAAAACAACTGTTCGAGAACTTGCAGAGCAACTCAAAGTCAGTAAAACGACCGTCGCTGACCACCTCAAGGCGATTGGAAAAGTGAAAAAACTCGAAAATTGGGTTCCACACTCATTAAACGACCGCCAAAAAATCAGCGCTTTGATGTTTGTGCATCACTTCTTTGTCGAAACAAAAATGACCCATTTCTGGCCAGAATTGTTACATGTGACGAAAAGTGGATTCTCTACGATAACACTAGACGTTCTGGACAGTGGCTCGACAAAGGAGAAGCTCCAAAGCCCCCAACTCATCAAAAAAAGGTAATGGTTACGGTATGGTGGGCTTCATTTGGTTTAATACACTACAGCTTCTTAAATCCTGGCGAAACCATCAATGCTGAATCATACTGTAACCAAATTAATACCATGCATCAGAAATTGGCAGTAATGAAGCCCTCTTTGGTCAATCGGAAAGGGCCCATTTTGTTGCATGACAACGCTCGACCACATGTGTCACGTGTAACGTCACAAAAATTATTGGAGCTTGGCTATGAAACTTTGCCTCACCCACCCTACTCTCCGGACCTCTCGCCTACTGACTACCATTTTTTTAGACACCTGGACCACTACTTACAACACATAATATTCAAAAATCAAACGGAACTGGAAAATGCATTTATTGACTTTATCAATTCTAAAAATTCTGAATTCTACTCAGACGGAATTAATAAGTTACCAACACGTTGGGAGAAATGTATTGAGAGTATGGGAAATTATTTTGATTAAAGAACATTGCTTTAAAGTAACTAGTTTCTTTTTTTTTGTTTAATACCAAAATCCTGCATTATTTTCCGGACAACCCAATAGATGATTCTACTTTTAATTTCAGATTTTTTTTACAAGCAAAATAATTGGGCTCTTAAAAACCACAATTTCTCACATTTCTAAAATTAACAAGAATCCTTTTGTTATTATTATGTATTTCATATAATTTTTAATATTAATTTTCATTTCGTGTCATGGTTTTTAAGAATTCGGTTATTTTATATTAAAAAAAGCTGAAATTTAAAGAAAAACAATTTGATTATTTAATTTCAAATGTAATTAATTTTCATACGGTCTTTTAAGAGCTCAATTATTTTTATATGTATTAAACAAATCTGATAAACTTTTTTAAAATGTTTATGTAGGATTCATTCGAACTAAAAAATGGTTCATTTAAAGTTAAAAGGGGTCATTTGAAGTTAAAAAAATTAACTTGATAAGAAAAAAAAATTAGTCTGATGTTAAAAAGGGTCAGTTTAGAGCGAAAAGGGTTTATTTGAAATTTAAAAAAAAGACTAATTTCAATTATTAAATTTGATTTAATTTTTGTAAACTTGCAGCAATTTATGGTAATTTTTTTATGAAAGATTTTTTGATGTACAGTATTTTTTTATTTATTTTGTTGTTCTTAGGGGAATGTTGTACCCAGATCGACGGAAAAAGCTATTGCATTTGACGTGAGGTTTTCTGCTCGTTATTATTATTTTTAAATTGGTGAAAATCGTGTGTATTGGACGAGTAGTTTGTTTGGGAAAGCTTGTCGTCGCACGCTGTTAATTCTAGAACGACTGTGATGAATCAGGGTGTCAGTACGCCTGTTTTACAATTTGGTCTGTTTAATGATGTACCTGTTTTTTTACTGTTATCCTAAGATCATAAAAGGAAAAATTTTTCATAGAAAAGAAAAACATGCTTTCTGTATGGAATACAAGCGACAATTAAAAGAAGAAAATTTTACACAAGAGTTGAATAATTGAAAATTTTTAACAAGCACAAGTTGTAAAAGAACGTTTGATACCTTTATCGTAAATCTTTGATTCGGGTTGATCGGCGTTGCCGTTGCTTTTCTGAGTGTAATCCACGGCAGTCATCGTCGTTTCTTCCACGAGGACGTCGTCCGTCGTCTTGTCCTCCCGGAGGGCCTCGTCGGCCCTGACGCAGGCCGCTATACCGAGGATCACCACGAAACAGATCGCGTTCATCTCTGAAGAGGACCGTTTGTGGCCTGGTGATCAGGTCTAGCCCACTTTCTGCCTTCCCCCTCTCACCTCTTGACGGCCACTTTCCTTCTCTTCTTCCTTCTTTCACATACGCAACTTTGATAAATTAGATGGAAGATATATGGCAAAAGTATTGACAACCTCAATATTTGGGTGTATTTTAAGTTAAAGGCCTCCTAATACTAATTTCTTATTACTTTTTGTTTATTTATCCTTACTGCTGGGTAAGGTGTAAAACGACCGATAAGCTAGGTACATTTTGATTTTGATTTCTTGCGTCAAACCTAGAAAACATAAAACGATCAAGTAATATATACAATAAAACAGCCCTGTATCCTCTAAAAATGGGAACTCCAATTATCGCTGACATTCTGAAGGGAAATTCTGATATCGAGTGGCATTCCTACACGCTCTCTATACGGAGCCAAGGACCCTTCAGTTAAGTGGGACACATCGAACAACCTTTCTCTATTTGCCAGACACATGCGCGGTCACTGGCCCAAAAATAAGGATTCTCTTTTGTTAGCAGGATTAATACAGATTTACAAAAAAAAGAGGTATTTATTATAACATAAATCGGAGAGATTTGACGTGTTTAGTTGAAGACAGAAGTGTTGACAAGAAGTTTATGAGGGGTGATTTACTAACTTCCATCGTTCCATAAATTCAAAATATCTCTAGAAAATTTTTCAACAGTTTTAATGCAGGTTGATGTTGAAACTTTAATTGTACTAGGAAAATTCACCATATTGGTGTATGTAATATTATACATACTTATAACAAAAATGTTAATAAATGAAAAACATATGACTACTTAGAGTGGGTCATGTGAAGCGAAAACAAACACGTTATATTTCAAATTAACCTTATAAAATCTTTAGTTAATTGGGTTCGGACCAAATTGTACATTTCCTCATCTATCCGTTAACACTTAATTTCTGTTTACATTCTTCTTTATCTGTGATGGAGCGGAGACAAGTTGTCTTTGTCAATTCTTCTGAGAAGAGGATGATGATGGCGGTCATATTGTCGCAACCTTTGTTCGGAAAAAACGCCGAGGGGGCGAGGCATTTCATGAAGAGTGATTCGCAGATTTCGCTGAGGTTGATATCGTTTTTGATTTTATCTTTGACGAAAGCCGCGACAAGATCGTTGGACATGACGTCCCAGATGCCGTCGCACGCGATGACGACGAACTCCCAAGAGTCGGTCAGGCTTTTTTTGACGATCTCCGGCTGTGCTATGACCGGCTGCTGCAGAGCGGACAAGTGGCGGAAGGACTTGTACCTGAAATCCCCCAAGGACCTGGACATGGCCAAGCCTCCGCTGACCCGGTTGTTCAGAATGGGCAGACCTGCCATGCCGATCCTCTTCGCCTCTTCGGGGAGCGTCGGCTTCTGGTCCTCGGAGAGTGGGACGACTTCTCCGTCGATCACCGCGATCGCCCTAGAATCGCCGACGTTGGCGCAGTAAACCGTTTGGTCTTTGATCATCAGGGTGATGGCAGTCGTACCCTGGCGGAACTTGCCGATGTCGTTTTCCCTCATGTGGTTGTCGATGTTCATGTAGCCTTCTTTTATCGCGATGTCGATCTCCCCAAGGTGAAAACGATCGCTCTGTAAGATGAATTTGTACAGGTGTCGGGCGACGTAGTTGGAGACTTCGTTGCCTCCGTGACCGTCGAAAACACCGAAGAACGCGACGGTCGGATCCAAAGGCGTTTCGAGTAAAGTGACGTGCGCATCTTCCATCCTGATTCTCCATCCTTGCATTCCGCCTCCGACCACTTTCCATCTGTCGTTTTTCATGAACACTGTGTATTTTTCCGTGACCGGCGCTTCCAGCAGTATCGGGAGTCTTTTTGGGTGTTTGGGCTTCTTCATTTTTCGGTCTGTAGTCGGGTTCGCCACTTTGACGCTTTCCTTCGTCTTAGGTGTCAACGGCTTGGTAGTTGCAGGCGAGGCAGCTTCTCCATCTGGCATTTCGAGAACGTCGTTGGTTTTTAAAGAAACTTCTACCAAGATACCGTCTTCCGGTCGATTGTGTTCGGCGTCGTCTGAAGTGTCGAAATCTTTGTTTTCGTACTCGAGCCTGGGTTTCTTTGAAGGCAGCGGTTCGGCGATTTTCATTGCGTCAATTCGAGTTCTCTTCCTTTCCAGAGAACTGGACCGCTGCTCGTCATCTTTTAGGGAAATGAAATAATCATCAGCATTGTCGATGGGAAAATTTAAAATCGTATCTGTAGAGGAACTCTCGAGCGAGGTTTCAGACTGGATGGACCTTTTTGAGTCAGGGGAAGACGCCTCACTCAACTGTAGCGAACTTCTTGAACGCTGTCGGGCTACAGCATCGATTCTCTCTTGTTCTAATGATTTAGTACCGTCAGACCTCTGTGGGATACTGGAACGTTGTTCACCTAACTGTGTTCCGCTTGACTCCTGTGTGAGACTGGAAAGTTGTCCGACCAAAAATTCAATTTCACTCGATTCCTGGGTGATGCTGGAACGTTGTTCGATTAATTTGATTTCACTCTGCTCCTGTGCCATACTGGACCATTGTTCTACTGATTCAGCGTCGCTCGGCCTCTGCAAGACACCGCGATGTACTGTCATATCTGTAGCACCACCTTCCAGACTATGACCCATTTTTTCTGAGGTACTTGGGACTTTTTCTTCTTCTGAACACTGTACTATCTTATAACTCGCTTTGTCCAAAACTTGTGACGTACCCGGTTGCGGTCCGATCTCGTATTGTTCATTTGGATAATTTGGCCTATCTTGGTCCGCTGTTGCGCCTGGCTGTACGACCATTTGAGCTTTGCTCGGATCCTGTTTACGTAGTTTGTGGCTACAGCATTTCCTCTTTTCTTTAGGGACATTGCCCTGTCTGCCGCCGGTTTCTTTTTCGGCCTGAATTTGCGAAGACGCTGGGGTGCATACGTCGGTGATTTCTGCCCTGGACTTTTCTTTTTCTTGCTCCTGATCGGTTTTCGGGCGGCTCCTTTCATCGTTGTTTGTTTCGTCATTATCTTTTTCCATGTCTGTATTGGCCACAAACTAATCTAAACAACAAAAAGCTCCCGACGGTGCGATATTTATGTGTAAATTAAATTATTGCAAATTTCTATAACAATTGGCTTGCAGACAAAATTTTACGGAGGAACTAAATATTTCGTAAAGCATATGGGACATAACACATGTTTTATAAGTAAAGACTTTTAAATACGAGGATTTGTGTCAAAAATTATTTCTTATACGTTACAAATCTTTTCTTAATGGTTTAAGAACAATACGCATGAAATAATGGATCTACTGTGAAACAAACATTTCACGCTGCCTAAGCAGCTTCACGGACTTGCCCTTTATTCTTTAAAATGACAATTTTGATAATACTGGATTGCGCAACCTGTCCCTTTTCCATCTGCTCACATCTTGTAGCAAACGGGGCCCATAAGCGGGAGTAGCCATCCTTGGCAAGTGGGCAGAGATTTGAGGTCATGCCCCACCTGCAGGCAGGAAACTTTCCCCGCTTTCCCAGTCGGCAGCATGCGCTCCTTCGTGTTCCTCATCTCCTTCGGGATCGCAGCAGTGCTTTCCCATCCGACGGTCTACGCCAAAAATGACCAGGACCGCCTTTCCCCAGGTAGGCCTTGTGTCAAAAAAAAGCTAACATATGGCCAAAATGTTACCAGACACATTTATTTTCTAGCGGGGGTTCCGTTTAAATTTAAAATTCGGACTATTAACTACTGTTTTTTAGCCAATATGTTCTTTTATAAAAACTTTTCCAACCTTTGACATAAATCAGACTTAGAAAACTTTTTTGTTTAATTAAAAGGAAACGTAAATCTGAGTTTACAAGCCAACAAGTTGCTTCCAGATGTTAGTGGTTTAGTTCAAAAGAACCATCCCTAGTTTAACAAAAATATTAATAAAATAAATTATATTTAAACGATTTATATAAAAACAGAAATGTTTAGAATGACAGATTGTTTGCTTTAAACGAGGAAACTTACAAAATTAAGTTAATCCATCCAAATCGCGGCAGTTCAGCGAAACAGCTCGTACCCAAAATTATAAACTATGTGCAAATCGTTACCAAGGAAATTAATAATTTCATTCTGCACAACTATGGCGGGAATGTTAACTTAGTAATTTTAAACCATAACAAGTTTTTTTTTTAAACGGAGGCGTTCATCCAGCAGTTGGCCCGCAAGTTCTTGCTGTTGGCATCAACTCGCAGGCCAATAAACCTGTCTTGGTCTGGAAATTTAAACTTAAAAATTTTATTTCAGTTATGTTCTTGTATACAGGAAACGAACACACCCTGCTGACTCATTGAGATAATAATCCACCTTTTACTCACGTTAAGTTTTCAAGGGCGACTCTCGATTTTATTGGGTTTTGTTATTGAAAAATCGAAACTGGACTGGGACTTTTATTAACCAGTAAATATTTCAACGGTTTCACGGTCTCCGTGGGTTGAACATCAAATTTATGAACATGTTGAGTGGAAACATCTGTTGAATAAAAAGTTCCGGTTCCGTTAAAGGGCTTGATTTTAAGATACAATACGGGCGTAAGACGGAACACCGGAAAGGCGAACAGCGAGATCAAACGCACCACTTTTCTTATAATCATGCCTTAATAATTTAATATTTATTTCGTAATAAATCGGAATGCAGGCAATTCAGCAATAAATAGCATGCTATTGCTGTATTCTTCTAAACTTTTTCAACAGAAAAAAAGCTACCAAAGGCACCGACAACGAAAACGCCGGCACACGTACCTACCCGACTAAAAACAGACGACTTAACATCACACCTCTTTTTTAGCTTTTTTATTATAGACGGAAGCGGCTGAACTTGGGGGTCAGAATGAACGAGCAGATTTAAAAAAAAAAAATAAAATAAATAAATAAATAAATAATAAAAAAAAAAAATAAAACCACTGAAGATGGCAGGGAAAAAACTAGGTTTCAGCTTATCGATATGGAGCAAATAACAGGTTTATCATCCCCGCAGACCACACGAAAATATGGCACTCTCTCTTATACGAAGCCTACTAAGTTTTTCTACAAATATCACACGCCTCATAAGTAATTAATTATATCTGTTAGGCAGAACATCTTATATCCAAGTACTAGGAGCCATTGTTAAAAAAGCATTGGAGGGCGTGTTTCCCAGGGCTCTGTGATGGGGACTACTCTATTTATCATATTTAGAAATGACATTAAAGACATCAATTCGTCTTTGGACTTAGCATTGTTTGAACGAGCCTGGCACCGAATTGTTACCGTATCTAAAGAACAATATCAGACGAAAAATGTTTCAAATACTTTAACTAGATTTTGGCTAGCCTACCCTTTTTTACTCTCTTTAGTAAAAATGAGCATGGTTATTTTTAGCATTTTATATAATTATGTGATAAATTTATTTCTGTAAAACATGGCAACAAGTAAAATGTAGACAAACTATGCTTTAAAATGTGTCACAAAAGTATAATTTGACAGAAATACATAATTATACATAGTTTTATTCATGTTTTTTCTATGACAATTAGGTGGAAAATTAAGAAAAAAGTCTTTACATTGAGCAAAGCATAATTAAAACAGAAAGAAAAAAATGTATCAATGGGTACTTTTTTTTTAACGAGAATTTGCAACAGCAGAGGTTATATAAACCCTCAGGGTGCCAGTGTTTTTGAAAAAAAGCCCATTTGTATGTCGGGTTTGAATGCAGGGCCGTTGGATTCGAACCTGGGACCTTTACCTTACAGTGATGAGCGCCGTGTCAACGCCTAAACTGTTGCGGCCACCCTCCCCTGAAAATTGGTGCTTGCCTCAAATAAACAGAAATAATTAAATAAATAAATAAACAATAATATGTACAGTAAAAAGTAACTCACCACGTGCTCATTAAAAATTGAAGATCAATGTGATGAAGCTTCCCAGAACCAAAAATATATTTTTGCTTTTGTGTCTCAGCCAGCTCTCTGTTCTTGTCTCAAACTGTTTCATCCCATTCTAAATAAAACCTTATTCACACAAATATTTAAACACAATTTTAAATCTGTAAGAAATCTAGAAAACCAACATAGTAATATGATTCTGGAATTTATCTGCCGTTATAAAATTTTTGAATACTTAATGCTTTGGAATTAGAAGCTTACATTATCATAACTTTTTTTGGATGTTTAATGACATAAGCAGATATTCGTTTAAGAACATTGACCAGTTTGATTAAATTTTCTTTTTGTTACAGTACTGCTTCCAATATCTTCGACAGTAATTCCACTTCCCATATATAAAGTCAGTTATTCCCTCGGAGGAAGTTCTGACGACGGGGCTGAATTCAAACCTGGCAACACAAAGCTGATCACAGGTAATTTTTGGCTCTGACTTTTCCTATTTATTATATTGATTGAATTTTTTTTTGTCAGCTAAAACACAAAAAGTGAATAAGGGAAAAGTGAAAGCGATCAGCAGGGAAAAATTCGAAAAAGGCATTTAATCTTGTTCAGTTAAAATGAATAGTTGTACTAAAACTTTGTATTAACAATTAATTTTTTTTATATTTAATTTTGTTACCACTGTTGTTAACTAATAAAAAAAAGACCAATTACACAATTAAAATCCTTGATCCTTGATTTATCCTGCAACTTAAGTAAATATGAATTCATATGAAAATAAGGCAATTATTTTGATTCTTGTTTTCTTTGAGCCTACTTAGAATTAAATATTTTGTAATCACTTTTCAATTTTTTAAAAAATACTGTTAAGAGTAGTTTAAAAAAATATGTATAAAAGAATTTTTAAAAATAATAAATCTTCTAAAAACTACATTCAAAAAATAAATAAATCATGAATGAAAGATTTTCAACTTGAACAGAGCAAGATTGCATTCCTCCAACTATTGGATTTTTATGAGTATACTCCTGGAGGTGGTAAGTTAAATCTTAAATTGTCGTGCATTAAAGTTGAAAAGGCTTCTTTGATTAAAATAATTAAATTATTAAGTTAGTCCAAAGCCTTGGGAAAAAATTATATTCAAAACTAAGCATATGCAAATAGTAATATTAATACACACACATTATTCTTTATTTAATATATCGTTTTTGAGTAGAATCTGGTTTGTAAAATATCAAAAAAGGAATACATTCCTGAAATGCAATATATATTGCATATTTAATGCTAAATGATACATGGTACATAAAAAATAGAGATAGTGATGATTTTTTAATATATTAAACTAAAAACATAAAATAACATATATTCCCATCGTATAACTCAATTTTTCATAGGCTTATTCATCATGGCCATGATACCATATCTGACAGTCATGGCGACACTGAAAACGAACATGAATCAGATGATTACATATATAGTTTGAATTTAAAGAATTACCTAATGCCCGTCAAGAGTCCTGCAGGCATGATTTTTCCAGATGAAGCAAACTTATATCCCATAAGTGCTCCGAGTGATGACGAAGCGATTAGAGAAGGTGTGTGGTAATGGTTTCTAGACACCTGGTACGCTCCGTATGCAATAGCCGTCCCAAAAAGTAATCCGGCTGCCAATGACGGAACACTTTCTGAAAACCAAAAAATATCCAAAATCAATCTAATCGATTACTGCTGAAAGATGCCTTCATTTAAACAAAGTTATCGGAAGGATGGGTACTAAACGGTAATTAGCCTATTTGAGCTGCTGAAGATGGGCAAAAAAAGCAAAAAAAAAGTTACAAGTATCAAGTATATTTTTGATTTACATACAGCATTTTTTATTATTATTGGGAGTAAGTAAACTCTTAATAGATAATTTATGAGAAGTCACACTGTCCAGGTGTGTTTAGGTACTGTGTTTGATTCAAGGTATATGAAGAGGAGGGTGTCCATGGGGGAGTCCAAGAGGTTTTTAAACAAGAAGTGGTACACTTTCTCGATTTCATCAAACTACATGCCATCCAGATTTAAGCACCATATAATTCACTACACTGATGAAGTTAAGCTTTGAGTGGAACAAGATGTTTCTATTTTCAAAGATTGTGGCTATACGTTAATGCCCCTGTTGAAATTTGGTAATTCTGGCTTGAAAATGTTTTTAAATGAGAGCCTTGGGGTTATACCCAGGTATATATGACCTCTATTTCACTATTTTGATAATACCATTTTTTCCATACTCCCTCTTCCATTCCTAAAAATCTTAACCTTGGATTTGTTCAGATTTAGTTTTAATTTCACAAGATGGTATAGTCATCTATTCGGTTGATCATCCTTTGCTAAGATGGGACTGCAAGGAATGACTAGGTCATCAGCATATGCAATAATCTCATCAAGGAAGTACTCCCAATCGTTTAGAAATAGAGAAAAAATAACAGGACTAAGCATGGCACCTTGATTCATAACCATATTCATTCAAAAAGAGAGACTCCTTCCTTGTTAAACCAAACTGATTTTACAGTGCCAGAGAGGGCTTCTAGCCTTCTACATTTTTTTTGTAGACAAGTTAAGGAACTTAACTGTTAAATATTCATTGCCAATGCTTTCCTGGATCAGAGAGAAATGTAAAATTTACTAGAGATCCAGAGAATCTAAAGGGAAGATAAACCTAAACATCTCATACACTAGGGCATCAACCTAACCCAAAAAGTATTGGGTGTAACAAAATCATCTTGATCTTAGTTTATTCAATGAATCTACAGGGGAACTGGTTAGGAGTAATGTTAATGCTCAAAATAAAGAACAGTGCAAATCATCCATTGTGCTGAGTCATATCCACATCACTGATCATCTCAAGGGTAAATTCTGCTTGATTGAAACTATTCTATGGACACTAACAGTTATATATTCATTGTCAATGTCTTCCTGTACCTTATATAAATGTAAAATTTACTAGAGATCCAAAGAATCTAAGAGTACGACACATCCAATGTCACATGCGGCAGGGCATCCAACCAAATCATGCTAAAATGTACAATGTATCTTTTGTACCAAAAGCCTTTTGGCCATAATTTATTCGTTCGATTTTATTGTTCAAATTTCTGAATACTAAAACATACATACAAAATATTAAAATTATATTTATCCCACATTATATAATATATGAGGTTGGAGGTTTATAGACTGACAAACATGTGAGGTCATCCCTCTGTGCATTTTCCTTTTTTTTCTAATCTTTTGTGCATATTTTAGTGATGTTATAATTACAAATTAATGTTTTTGAGGATATAGTGGCGGGGCCCTATAACTTCCGCATGCAAGCATTGCCCATAAAGATTTAATTTTACCTAAATTAAGGTTTTATCACTTTTTTTAGTTTGTGGGAAAAATTATCATGCAAAAACCACAAAGCTCTAAATTAATTCTTAACATAACATATATATAAATAAATATCTTTGGTATTGAATATGTTAACTATTTGAATTTATTGCACACAATAAATACAAACATAAACTACTTATGGTAGTATTAATGTACATTTGCTTGTTAATGGCTAGAATGATGGTTGTGGATTTAATAACAGTTGTTAATTAGGTGTTTCACCCTTCTGCACTTCCAGTTTACTCCTGTGTAACTACCTAAAGATCTACATATGGTTAGTGCTTATTGAAACCTGCAAGATTACTTCTGGGATTTCAGTGGATACATGGTGGTCAGAAAGTTTAATGCACTATAGCAATGAGGTAGTAAGCCTTACAAATTTATTTTGAGTATAATAGCTTTTTAAAGTATGTTCTCACTGACGAAAGGCAGTTTTCACTAAAGCATATATCAATCTATTCAGTTTTTGTAAACAAAGCTGTCTATTATTTATCTACTTATGGCCTTTCTAGCCTGTTTTGATCGGTTTGTGTCTAGGAGAGGTGTTCCAAGCAGTTTTCAGACAATGCAATGAATTTCTGGGGAGCCTATTGGGCATTGTGGGAATTGTACACATGATGGAGAAATGTTGAAACCACTCAAAAAATTATTCCCATTTGCAAATCCATGAAGTAAGAGTGGAGCTTTATACCTCCTGCTGCGAGAGTGCTCCTACTTTGGAGGACTCTGGGAAGCAAGCAACAAGTCCATGAAGTATCACCTTTCATAAGTTTTAAAAACTCACCCATTAACCTTCGGGAAATTGACAACTTAACATCTTGAACCGAAGCCATATTAAACCCACACCCTCTTTCCTCCAATCCTGATAGTTTTGACAAGCTCACACCTGTACATTTTATCACTGGAGCTCTGCTGGTCACCCGGATCTGGATTGGCCAAATTGTCCTGGGCACACCCTAACCCACTAGCAGTTTTTACAAAAATGTATCGGGGACGTATGGAAACTGGCAAACCAATTGTCTGCCTTCAACAAAGAGCAAAGTAGTCCGGACGTGAGGTTGGTGTCACTCATGGAACTGTTGCTCGAATCAAGCACAAGTGAGGCTTCATAATGGGCACGCACAGAGGAGCATTGATCTGACTATGGCTTTATAGAGAGAGATTTTATTATTTACACATAGATTTGATTCCCTCTGAAAAGCAGAGAGTTTTGATTGCTAATTTATCTTTACTCACCAGTTTGTTAACTTGTACTTTAAAATTATGTTTGCTATCTAGCAGAAAACCAAGGTGTTTTAGTTTATTGCCCAGTTTGATAGTATCCCCTGTGATTACTTGTTTATTGATGAGTGGTCTACGTTTTGTAAAAAAGTGCCATCCTTTTTAACGAGGTTTAATTGTTATATTTATGCTTAATTTACACCTATTACAAAATGCTTGATTTTTTTTAGTGCCAGATTTAATTGCTTTACTATACGCTTAGTCTCCAGGATGATACATATAATGCAATGTGGCACTTTTCCTCATACCGAGGAGTACATTTAGTATAATAAAAGGATCTACCCCTGACGAACACCCACAACCATCTTATATAAGGGTGAAAGTGACTTATTTAGGGATATCTTGGAGTATTTGCCCTTTAAATAAGAGTAAGCGATTTTAGTTAGATTTGATGGGAACCCATACTCAATTTGGTGGTACATGATGCCATTTTGCCAGACCGCGTCAAAACTCTCCTCCGTGTCTACAAGGCCAATGCCTGCGTGTGTTTTTGTTACTGAAGGCCGCAGTTATGACTTGTTTACCTCAACCACCAGACTACAATGTACCTTGCGAACCAAAACCCTATTGGCCATCATTTATTCATGGAATTTAGATTGAAAACTAATTAGGTGAATGTTAATGAACATTTTAATTTATACTTTTTATCTAAGGTCTTGGTTGAGAAGTCATGATAGCTCAAGTGGCTAGAGCAGCGTAGCCGGTTTGAATCCTGCTTGTGACACTAACTTTTTCAACCAAGACCTTCGATAAAAGTATAATAAATTAAAGTAATTAATAATGACTACTTAACATGGATTAATTAATGAACAGGCTAAGGGAGAAACAAGGCGAATCACCTATAATTGCGGTTCTGCTAAGTCATATCTATGGTGCTGATCATGAGTAAATTCTGATTGATTAAAAGTATTCTAAAGTGATTAACAGTTAAATATTCATTGTCAGCGGTTGTATTCAAAACTGATAGTTATCTGTTGTAAGTACGGTTTAGGGATGAACTTACTTGACTTGGCATACCCGAAGGCACCACCAGATACGACGATGACTGCATAAGCGATTCCCAAGTAATCCATATTCCACTTCTTCCTTTCGGCTGTCCCTTCGAATTGAACTGGGCTTTCTGACATTCAAGAAGATGAAGTGACTTCAGCACGCTACCTGGTCAATCTTCAAACTGCAGAAACTAAAAAAACTTCAAATAAACGCAGTGTCACAGTGATTAATTGGAGCTCTTGTAGAAACGAACACGTACAACGAAGTGTAACTTGTTTGTTTTGAATGTTGACAAAGGAAAAGTTAAATTGATAGCAGATATCAGTCGATGGCTTAACAAATCTTACAAAATCTGCTTACATAACAACTATTTCTGTTGCTATAATAAAATCATTAAAACCTCTCAAAGTCATTTTATTTATTAAATTATGGAATAATTAGATAATAAATGTTCCTGTTTTCATTACAGTGTACATTTGGCAACATGGAGGGGGTTCCCTCGTTTATTTAAAACGGATTTTACTCGGGCTTTGGTCTCCATCTACATTCTGGGTCCGTCTATCTTCGCTTTTAACACATTACTTTAAACAGTATACACGGGATAGTTTTTCGTATTATCTGATTAATTTATCTTTTCTTTGGATATTTATTTTTAACTCATTATGCCAGTTGTGTTTTGTTCTTTTTCTGAATTGAGGAAAGTTGAATTGTTCATGTGGTTTGGTTGCAACTATAGGGTCCGCCTATACTCCCTGATACCGTTAGAACTTTTAAGTTTTTAAGAACAAAATAAACGTTTAACGAAAGCTTTATGCAGATCGATTTTCTTTATTAAGCGAAAATGGATTACTATTTCTGAAATACGCCTCGTAGTTTGGCTAATTTTTTGAAGCTTACAAAGTTTTGCTGAAAGATTTTTTTTTCAGATTGATGTTGCTTGTCTATTGTTCTGCTGAAATGCATTATTATCTCGGAAAATACTGCCTGTAGTTTGGTCGTTTTTTAGAGCCTAATTACAAAACTTGGTCAGCACACCCTTACTGATACCATTAGAAGTTTTAACTTTTGTTGAAAGCTTATTTTCAGATTGATGTTGCTGATCTATTGTTCTGCCGAAACGCATTATTATCTCGGAAAATACGGCCAGTAGTTTGGTCGGTTTTTAGAGCCTAATTGCAAAACTTGGCTAGCACACCCTTGCTGATACCATTAGAAGTTTTAACCTTTGTTGAAAGCTTATTTTCAGATTGATTTTTCTTGACCTTTGTCTGCTGAAGTACATTATTTTCTCGGAAAATACTGCCGGAAGTTTGGTCTTTTTTTTAGAACCTAATTGCAAAACTTGGTCAGCACACCCTTACTGATACCATTAGAAGTTTTAACTTTTGTTGAAAGCTTATTTTCAGATTGATGTTGCTGGTCTATTGTTCTTCCGAAATGCATTATTATCTCGGAAAATACGGCCAGTAGTTTGGTCGTTTTTTAGAGCCTAATTGCAAAACTTGGCTAGCACACCCTTGCTGATAACATTAGAAGTTTTAACCTTTGTTGAAAGCTTATTTTCAGATTGATTTTGCTTGACCTTTGGTCTGCTGAAGTACATTATAATCTCGGAAAATACTAGTAGTTTGGTCGATTTTTTAAAAATCACCGCTACTCCGAGAGTTCATATAACCTCGTAGTTGCAATACCATCGTAAAAAAAATCTATTATGTATAGTGTCATAGACAGACATTGTATATGTCTATCTTCTTATTATTTTTTGGCTACACTATAATCTATTATGGGTAAGGTCGTAGATGATAAATTGTCAGATAGAACCTGGTGCTGTGATCAATCTTCTTCTGAGTGTTATTCAGATATCGTGAGATGCGGTCGGGTGTGATGTAGGTTTCAGAAAAACATTTTCTTTATCGTGCCAACGTTTCGATCTTTTATTGAGCCCTGAAGATGATCTCAATAAAAGATCGAAACGTTGGCACGATAAAGAAAATGTTTTTCTGAAACCTACATCACACTCGACCGCATCTCACGATGTCTGAATAACTATCGATTAACGGTCACTAATCTCTACACACTTCTTCTGAGATTTCATATGCTCAATATGGGCATCGGTGGCCACAACGGTAAACCGTTGAAACTCGACTCATTACATTAAGCAAATGGAAAGTGCTATAAATAGATAAATTATCTAGATGCTGGTATCCTCAATGGTCTGGTTTGTCAATATTAGGCATTTTGGCATCTTCAGTGGTGGTTTTGGTTTGGCTACATTATGATTATGGTTTTTCTGTTTCATTCTATTTACCAATTTCTCTATTTATGTATACAACATATTTATTGGGTCATTTGAAGTGACTTTTATCTTGGACCGTAGTATTCGTAATTTCTTGGGTTTAGCCACAAACCAAAACAGCGTGTATGGGCAGATCAAAATGTCCGAAAACAACCAAATTAAGTATAGTTTTTATAAATAAATTATTTGACTGAATTATTTACACTAGTTTAAATAAAACTATATTGTTGATAGTTTGATTGTTTATTACGTGTCTTTAAGTTTTCTTGCATGTTGGTCCTCTCATCTGTTAAGAAATTGTGCTGAAAAAAAAAGAAAAAAGAAATGTGTCATCAGGCTATATAGGAGAAAAATGTTAATGCAAAACATATGTTTTGTCATTATTTACCATTATACTGTTCTGTAGTTTTCAACAAGATTTTTGTAGAATTTCTTTAAGTAGTTTTTTTTAAACAATTCTAAATGCTTTCACATTTTTGAATGAATTCCGAATCAAGCCAGGTCTGACTTGTTCGCTCGACTAGACAAAGTAAGCAACTACTTAGTATTGATGTACGTTTTTTTATATTAAGTTTCTAGAGTTTACGTTTCAGATGCCGACGTTCATCGCACACAAGCTCGACGTCTTCAACGATGCTCAAGGGCGGAGGCTGCAGCGGAAACGAAGCGATGGCAGGCTCAAAGCGTCCGCCTCGGCCACCGACTTGAGGAGCTGGACGAATAACGATGAAGACAAGAGACAATATATGCTGGACGTCATGAATAATTCGGTAACGGAAATGTATTATTATTTTTGATCAATCATGTCTACTGCAAATCAAAGAGGAACGTGTGTCGATACTGAATTGACATGTACGTGTGTCTGTTGGGGTCAACTGTCTTTTTTTTCTCAGAGGGGTTTTAGTTAAACTCAGCTGATTTTTCTTAAACTTATTGCCATAATAAGAAGGGATGCTAAAAATAAATAAAAATTCTATACAATGTCTCTTCTCTGCTTATAGAAAATCTTTAAACTTTCAAAACTAATCAACACAGACTAACAAATTCAAGTTGAAATGATCGACTCTGATAACTTTAGTTTGCTTGTTTCCGATCATTTTGGTCTGCCTATCTTTGCTGGATCAAGGTATCAATTTATCTATCTATCACATAATGTATCCAAAGAATCCCTCCACTGAAGAGTGCGAAAAGTCAAAACGCATCTTACCAACCAATACCAGCGAGAATAGAGGAACCAGCATCACCAGAAACGCATAACTTCAGTTTTATAACTTGCAGACCCCCAATATATCTCACAATGAAAATAAAATTTAAAAATTTATACATCACAAATCTTATATTTTCAACTTACGACCATGATCAAATGTTTGAATAATCTCTTTCAATTAATCTTTATGTAAGGTATTGGCTGATATAAAAAAAGTCAGTGTCACGAGCGGGATTCGAACCCACGACCTTCACGGCTAAATACGCGGCTGCTCTACCACTTGAGCTATCGTGACTTCATCCACTCGGACACCAACCTCCCTCTCAACCCAACCTTTCGAATCTTCCCTCCTTTTTGCCATTTTTCAAATGTCTTGAATATTGAATTTTTCAAATGTTTGAATTATTAAAAATTAAAAGGCGTTGGCAACAATCCAATTATTCTTCCGATAAAAGAAGCTTCGAACCAGTTCTCTTCTTCTGCGAACAGTACAATAAATGCCTTGATATGACTTCCACTCGCTCCAATCATGACAACAACCTCTAATTCGCATCCGCAATTGGAGAAAAAAAAAACTATGAAATTATCACTCAGTCGATTTCCAACGCCCTTTTACTTAAGGGAACCTGGGCCAGACGCGACAAAGGCAAATAAAATCTTCTCGCAACCTATTAAGGATCCAAGTTTTTAGTTCTCATTCAGATGTAAATGATGCACCTCATGTAAACCTTGGTATACCACATCCTTCTCATATGCCTCTCAAATCTTTCCATCCTTCTGTAGTTCAGAAACCTCCCAGCCACATATCCTCCTACAGACCTATCAGCCTTCTTCTTATATTGACCAAAATCATCGAAAGACACATTTTAAAACGTTTAATACCTATCCTTGATTCACATAAAACTCACCTAATTGGCTTTCGTCTCAACTGAAGTCATTTCATGATATAACAAGGTTTGAGAGTTGTTGATACCAGAGCGTGGCCCAGGCTTTCGATAGGTCAGAAACCTAGGCATCCTTTATTGCTTCCTACCAATCCCTTATTACCTTAAATTGAACATGATCTTCAGAGTGAACTGTGGCAACGAATACTGAGATATCAGACCAATACATCCGTCCAGGAAGCATACTTGGTCCTAGTCTGATGAACATCCCAACACTATGCGGATGATATCGCATTTTGTCTTCTTACCCGAATCCTATTCCAAGCAACATCCCAACGGAACACCTTGAGCTTATCAGAGTATCAGACTAGGGATAAAAGTAGAGGACAAGACTGAATGAAGAAAAAATGTACCCATTGTGCATTAAATAAACGTTCTACACAAGGTAGATATTTAGGACTATTTCTAGACAGCAGAGTGACGTCTAGACTAATTTTACACAAAACATTACTGTGACCACACTGGAATTTCGGAGTGGAACTGTGGGGTCTCGTCAATTTTTCCAATCATAATTCCTCAGACATTGTCAAAGCTAACTACGCCACTAACCTCACTAACCACAACGACAACCAAGTTCCTCTTCTCCACGAAGGAAAAGTTCCACAAGATTAGATCTATCCTAACCTTCTGCCCAAGAATTATTGACTCTTTTCCATCCTGAAAATCCGCCACTTCACCTTAAACGATGGCCTCGAGACCTCATCACGAACGACTTAATCACTTATATTGTATGCAGTGCCCGCGTTGACCGGATTCTCTTAACTTGCATTCATCGGCTGTAGTATTGACCATTGAAGTATTTGACCAGAAAAAAACATACATATTAATACATCCTATAAAAAAAAAAAATTAAAAAATCTAATTGGCTAAAGTTTGTAATTTAAATCATTATCCTCGTTATCTCTAACGAGTTTAGAATGGTCTGAGTTAAAAAATAATGTTCAAAATTTCGATTTTCTGAAGGCTTGAAATAAAACGAGTAAAATTTATAACAAGTGGGACGAGGCGGACAACGATGATAAATTATGATCGATGCGGCATACTTTGGAATTAAGAGGGATAACGCAGCTCTTGTCTAAAACCAGAAAACGCCGTCTCGCTGAAAAGCGAGTTTGCTTTTAGAAAAGTTACTCATTAATAAATATTTTAGGTCTTTAATTTATAATATTGTTTAAGTTACAGAATGATTACGTAATTAATTTGACGTAGAGTTTTTCACTTAAATTATTGTAGTCGAAATGAAAGCTGAAATTCGAAAGAAATCGGAGGGCAATATGTTTAATTAATTATAATTTGTAATTTTTTCTGCATAAATAATATATTTTCAAGTTCAAAAATTTAAATCTCACTTTTAATCCGGGATGTCAGTATGCAACAACCGCCTTATTTATAATCCGGTTGTCAAACCCATGCTATTATATGCATGTTATGGAGTCTCAACTGCAAATCAAATATGCTAAATATTCAAAGAATGCAGAACAAGTTTTTTTAAGGCTAGTGACATCATCTCGCAGGCGGACCAGGCTGGAGCAACTCCACGGTGAAAACCGACACCAAAAAATTTTATTGTAAGTTTGCCTCCAGCAAAAATCTTTTCAGCAGATCGTAGGATAGTACGACAACCAGATTCAATGGAAGCATAAACGCATAAAAGCGATTCTGTGATAAATAATTTGTATATACATAATCTCAACACGACACACAAGAATGACACAATTACGCAGAAAACAAACACTTTGCGACCTGAAGATGATCTCAATAAAGATCGAAACGTTGGCACGATAAAGAAAATGTTTTTCTAAAACCTACGTCACAACAGACCGTATCTCACGATCCTCCGAATAATAATTATATAAGTAATATTTATTTATTTTTTTACGAACATATTTTGTCTTCGTCACACGACGAATTACACGACATTTGAAATATGGCAAAAGGAGGGAAAACTCATAAGGTGGGGTTGAGATAGGAAGTTGATGTCCGAGTGGATCGAGGTCACGATAGCTCAAGTGGTAGAGCAGCGGCTTATCTAGCCGAAGATCGTGGGTTCGAATCCCGCTCGTGCCATTAACTTTTTTCATCTCAACTAAAAACCTTAATTAATTGTAATGATTTAATTGGTCAAGCGGACCACGAAATTAGTGAATTTAAAATGTTATAGCTGAAATGGATTTCCATTGTTAAGAAAATAAGCAAGATTAGAAAGTCAAATGTTTAATTAATTAATAAATTTCTAATTTTTCTCTATAAATACTATATAATTTATATATAAATACTATAGTTTCAAGTCCAAAAAAGAGTTTAAATTTAAATTTCACACATACTTTTTCTACTAAAATGTTATACTTGGAATGGAAGTTCAATTGTGAGAAAATAAACAAGGAATGTGTGGTGATTAGTGACCGTTAATCGATAATTATTTAGAAATCGTGAGATGCGGTCTGGTATGATGTAGGGTTCATAAAAACATTTTCTTTATCGTGCCAACGTTTCGATCTTTATTGAGATCATCTTCAGGGCCTGGGATTTACAAACATAGTTTACATTTAACAAATACATTTTGGATGTGGAAAAGTGAATTGCATTGTATAAATTCACTTGTCCACATCCAAAATGTATTTGTTAAATGTAAACAATGTTTGTAAATCCCAGGCCCTGAAGATGATCTCAATAAAGATCGAAACGTTGGCACGATAAAGAAAATGTTTTTCTGAAACCTGCATCACACCAGACCGCATCTCACGATTTCTAAATAAAAATAAACAAGATTGAACGGTCAAATGTTTAATTAATTAATAAATAACCGAGAGATGAACAATTTTCACGTAATAAATTCGTACATTTTTAAATTCTGGGATATAAACAATAAAAAAATTACCTATGAACTTCACTTGTGACTTAATTCATACGCAAGTGGTTCAGGGGGCAAATAATCGAGATTGGACGGGAAGTTTTATAATTAATTAGAATGAACGAGCGTACGTCCAATTTGTCCAGTAATAAATCTTATAATACCTAGTTACAGGTTAGATTAATTAGACAGAGGGAGACTATTCGGACAAAAACATAAATCTAGCTTAAGACTTTTATTTATGCTGACAATTTTATATGATTGTGGTATAAAAAATATATAAAAATTAGATATTTTTTTGTAGATTTTATTGATGTTCTCTATGTACTTTATATCCTTTATAAAATAGATAAGCATGGTGTCTACCTTTTTAGGTTTATAAACTAGAAGTGGTAGCAAAACCCATCAAATTGCTTGTTTTCAGGTACGCTTGTAACAAAAGGGATTTCCTCGTCCTTAAAAGAAACTTTCTCTATTTCTAAAATACAAAGTCGATTGGGCAGGTCAAGTTCTAGCAAGCTGCCATGGTACCTTTACTCGAACCAATCGACCCTTTTTTTCTCACCCTCATATCTCTGCTTCCTATTAAGGTGGGGTTTTGAAATTTGAAATAAATTGTACTTAGATCGCTTAAGACTTTGTAAAAATGTAAGCATTTAGCCTTTTCGAAAGGGGATAATTTCAAAATTTGCATTTTTCTTACTGACTGGCTCACTGATCTTCAAAATTATAAGGAACTGCTCTAATAGCTAGAAACGAAATTCGGTAAAAAAAAGATTTTACAGCAAGTAAAGAAAAAATCTGAAAATTGCAATTGTCTCAAAATAGGTACCGCTTTAGGGGGAGGAGGAGGTAATTTCGTCATCGAAATTATAAGGCAGTTCCCGTACAAGTAGAAATGTGATGTTTGGTCTTATACTATAAATAAATTTTTTCAATTAATTAATCTTTTGATGTAAGGTATTGGTTCAAATGAAAAAGTTAGTGTCACGAGCGGAATTCGAACCCACGACCTTCGGATAAGATGAGTTCGAATCCCGCTCGTGACACTAACTTTTTCATTTCAACCAATACCTTACATAAAAAGATTAATTAATTGAAAGAGGTTATTTGGTCAATCGGACCACGAAATATAATGGATTATAAATAAAGGTAAGAATCTGACAAATCTGAAATTCGTGCCACATTAGGTAGACTCATCGTTAAAATTATAAGGCACTTCCTGTATAAGCAGAAACGTGAAATTTGGCAGAAAGGTAGATCATATATCAGAACCAAGACGATGTGCACGATGCTGAAGCGAACAAACAAGTATGATATCTCAAAAAACCAAACCATGAAAAAAGCCAAGTTTCCGACCCCCTACAAACAATTATTAATCAATTTAATAATTTCTACACTGTGGTCAAGCCCTCTCTTTAGACATAACATGAGAGAACTCAAAATACAAACGTTTCACACTCCCTCCCATAAAAGTAAAAAAGTCAGCCTTTCAAAATAGTGACATCTACATTGTGGCCAATCTCACTTCACTCCTTTCTTTATGAGGATTGCATCAGGACCCTGTGGACAGTAGAGGTGGGTGACTCCGAAGAAAAGAAAAATGTTTCAGACTCCTCATTTCTCATTGGAATAGGTCTAAAATTGGTCTGGTAGTACTAGATGAGACTAAGATAATGAAAGTTTAGATATTGATTCAATAGATGTTGAATTCCTCTTAGCAAGGTGAATATGGTCATTCAGTGAGGTGCTATGATAAACAATTATTGTTATATGTTATTCAATATGTTGAATATTTAAGGACTTTGTTTTTTGACGGTTAAAATGAAAACTTTTAATAAAAAAAGTAAATGTTTTACAGAAAACCACGTTTGGAAATTATATACCTTTAGACGATCTGCTGGAAATGGTGGCCAACCAGGTACCACTCGAAATTCTGAAACCTTTTACAAGTTTGACCATTTTTACAAATTTGATTTATCTCTCAGGCCGATTTAGGCGGGTATGCCGCTACTCTTAGAGCGAGAGACAACGAAGAGGTCAAAAGGCGGCTTTCATCACGGTCCTTGTCCATCACGGAGTCCGAAGCCAGGCTGAAAATGAAGATATACCCCGATGACGACCCGTACGAGCCGATAATTCATAACGAAGAAGTCCGAAACTTGAGATGCCAGATAAAAGAGTTGTGCGAACAACACCAATACTACACCTCCATGCTGGAAGGCAGAGAGTTAGAAAAGCAGAGGTTCTCGAGCCAAATCGACGAATTGCAACAACTAAAAGAAGAAAATACTTGCCTCCAGCAACGGTGAGTGATTAATTTAAGGAAAGATCAACAACATGATATAATAATAATGTTTCTAATTAGCTTGAAACATCAAGACGAAATGAGCGAACTGTTAGACAGGATGTTTAAAAAATACGATGACGCCCAAAATGAAAATCAACGGCTGAGAAAAGAAATGGCGAAACTAAAAGCTGTAAGTGTTAAATATTCACACTTAGATTTGATTGATATCGGAAGTCTTTCCAGATGGAAATGGATTACGAAGAAACAATGCAGAAATTGCAAGACTACGAGGAAATGGAGAAAGAGGCGAAGATGTTCAGAGTGAAAGAAAGGCAGTATCGACAAGCCATCTCTGATAGTAAAGATATTGAAAGCGAGCTCATCTCGTGCAAAGCTCTGCTTGCGGATCAAGAAGACGAGATTCAGCAGTTAACGAACAAGATCGAACACATGGCATCGAGTACTGATGAAAAGCAGGTCGGTACTTCATAACAAAATTGAAACATTTAGCAAAATTAATCATTTTTCGTTGTATTTAGGAAGTATTGAGAGATGCTTTACAAGAAATCAGGATGTCCCTGAAGGAACGAACGGACGAGCTTCTCAAATGCAAAGGAGAATTGAAAGACGCCAAAGAATTGATTTCCGAGTTGGAGAAGGTCCGTGAAGAGCTCAAGAAGAACATAATGTACCTTACGGACAACAAGGAATACTTCAAGGATCTGGTCGGCTTGATGTCCAATTCAGAAGCGGAATTGCAGGAACGGCTGAAAAAGAAGCAAGAAGAGCTCGAAAGGATAGAAAAGCTGAACGAAGCTGCGATGTTGTCCGCCGAGAAGAAGGGCTCTGGAGACGAAGCGGCGCACGACTACATGACCAGGGCGGTCAATACGACTAGAGACGCTCTTCGAGCGCTTATGGACGACTACAAACAGAAGAAAGAGGAATTAGAGCGCATGCAAACAGAGAAGGACCAGCTGAAAGAAGACATCAGGAACCACCAGGAGCAGGTACGGGCGGCGACGGACGAGTTGGAACGCTTAGCCGTCCTTCTCGGAGAATCGAAGGGCAAGCTTCAGAGAGAGCAAGCCATGGGTAAAGCCGCTCAAGACGAGCTGCAAAAGTTGAGAAAATCCAGCGACGAAATGAAAAAAGATCTCGTAGATCTCGATTACTATAGAAAATTGTCTAACGAGAACAAAAACGAATTGATGAGAAAAGAGATGTCGATCTCAAGCCTTCAGGACAGACTAGCAAAAGCCGAAAATGACAACGATAATCTCAGAAACGAGATAAAAAGTTTAAACGATATGATAAACAAGCTAAACGGCGAAATAGAAAAACTTTCAACAGAAGCTATCGATGCTAATAACATAATATCAAAGCAGAGCATCGAGGCGAACAAAATGTTGAACGAGATACGGGAAAAAGAGTTGCTCAAGTGTTTGACTGAAGAACTGAAGAAACAGATATCCGGCTTGGAAAACCAATTGAGAAATACACAAGACGAGGTCAAAAACAGGGAAAACGATATTAAACAAATGCACGAATTACTCTGCGATAAAGAAAAGGAGCTCGAACTTTTTAAAAAAATGCTCCAGGATAAAAATAATATAATAGAATGTCTTGAGAGAAACCTCGCAGAGTCCTGCGATTTCGCGAATAAAGTAAACCAACAAATCGAGTGTTTAAATGACCAACTGAAAAAACAGCACGAAGCGAACCAAACATTGCAATTAGAAATGAAACGGTTGAAGGATGAATTGGATAAGACGAAACATTTGTTGGAAGAAGAAAGGAACACGAACGATATGCATTGCAGAGAAAAATCAATATTAAAAGACGAGTTGGCTAAGGCCAAACAGGACATGGCGGCATTGAACGACGAGCTGAATATGACTCGAGGGCAACTAAACGCCGCACACTTAGAAATCAGATCGTTAAAACAGGACATTGAAACGCTACGGTCTACGATCCAAAGCAAAGACAGAAAGATAAGCGATTTAGAAGACGAACTGAAACTGACCAAAGAGAAACTTGAAAAAGCCTGTTCGCTTTACGGAGAGGCGTGCAACAGGAACGACGAGCTTATCAGACAATTGAAAGAACTTGAGGACGAACTCCACGCGACGAAAGACGCTCTGCACAAGTCAAGACAGTTTGGAGAAGATATGAAAAATTGCAAGGAGTGTCTGGAAAACAATCTCAGGGACGCCAACCGAACTAATGTCCTCCTTCAAGGAGAAAACGAAGAGCTCAAGGAGAAAATAAATAAGGGGAAGAACGAGATTGACAACCTTCTAAAACAGATAGACTCATTGAAAAATGAAATATCTAGGTTGAACAACGATATGAAGAAGCTGAGCCAAGAAAACAACAGTCTTGTGTTAGCTAAAAACAAGACAGAACATGACCTGCTTGCAGCAGAAGATGAGATACGGAAGTAAGTACTCCTCATTGTTAATACTTAAACTATAGTCTTCGAGGGCTTTGGTGGCCGTAACGGTTTAGGCGTTGACACAGCGCTCGTCACTGTAATGTAAAGGTCCCGTGTTCGAACCCAGTAGCCCTGAACTCGACATACTTACAGGCTTTTTTTTTTCAAAAACACCAGCACCCCAACGGTTCATATAAGCTCGTAGTTTAAAAAAAAAACTTCATGACTGAACCCTCTAAGAATTAGCACATCTAAGGAGCGTCGGTGACCGCAACGGTTTTGGCACTGATACGGCGTTCATCACTGTAAGGTAAAGGTTCCGGGTTCGAATCCAGAACTCGACATATTTACAAGTGGGCTTTTGCTTTTCAAAAACACCGGCTCCCCGGGGGGATATGACCTGTTGTTGTGAGCCCTTGTAACAAAAAAAATAAAAAAATTAGCACATTTGCTTTTTAGTGTCTATGAACTTGTTATGCGTATAACCGGCGTGGTACCCTTGGGGAAGCGAAGGATCGGACCACCTAGGCTGAGCCTATGGCGACCCTCGACTGCGCATGGCAGGTGTAGGCTGAGCTCGAAAGGAGATTTTTACCGTAGGCGGTGCTCATCTAGAGGGTGGTTAGCAATTTCACTTAAAACTAAACCGCGGCCGGGGCGGGTCCGGAAGTTTCTACGCTGGGGAAGCCCCAATACTCTGGGAGATACAGTGGCCTTCTCCATCTAGGGAGTGCGCGGGAGAGCAGGCTGATGTATTTCGGCTTGTCAGCCCTTTGGGCGCGGCATACGACACGATGCACAATGCGGGCCCGACCATTCGGAGTGGACAAGCGGAGAGCGAGGTTGTTTTGGTCCTTATGGGCTGGGACGCCTCTACACCAATGCTGCGGCGGTAACACTCTTCCGTCGTATGCGGAGTTGCGTCAGCTCTCATCTTGAGAATCAAAACGTTCGATAAGGCCGAATAGGCCAGGTGCGGACGCTAAAGATCCTCTAGTCTTGTGACGACGAGTACTCGGGAACGACATGTCTATATGTCATAGATATGTCTAGATTATAACATTTAAAAGTAAATTTATGTGTATTATGAATGAGTCATAGAATTGTACCGTAAGTAAAATATGGGATGGGTTGAAAAATTCCTATTGTACACTACAATTTACCTTTTTCTCAACGTCCACCGTGCTTCTGTTACAGGTTAAAGGATCGTTTAGACAATTTGCAGAAGTTGAACAACGAAAATCAGAAAAAGATCGAATCGATGCAAGCTGCGTTGAAAATGATGGAAGCCGAAAACGAATGCTTGAAGAACGAATTGCCGAAGCTGAAGTCTCAGAACGAGGACCTTTTGAGCAGGGGTAACGGCCTCGAGAAGAGCCTAGACGACTGCACTAACGCTATGAGGCTGAAGCAATCGGAACTCGAAAAATGCCTCAATGAAATGGAAAACCTGAAGAGGAAGCTGGCCGAGGCAGAAAGGAAATTGAGTAACTTCAAACAGGAAAACGACACTCTGCTGCGGGAGTTGGACAACGCGAAGAACAACTTGCAAGAAGCGAACCGAATGAAGGCGGGAGGTGACTCGCAGTTGTCGGCAGCTCTGAACGAAATGACCTCCTTGAAGGACGAGGTGGATCGACTTCGCAGCGAACTCGCGGGTTGTAACAGCAGGTTCAACGAGCTTGAAAAGGATTGGCGACAAGCCACGGACGAGTTAAACAGGCTGAAGAAAGACAACGAGAACAAACAACTCGAGTTGGCGGGGCTGAGAGCGGCAAAGGATAGCCTAGAAAAGAAGTGCAAAGGCGATGCTGACAAGCAGATGCAATTGAAAAACGAACTTTCCAATTTACTCGAAGAAATGGAAGACACGAAAAACCAACTGGAGGAAATCTCGAAATGTTACAACGAAGCTTTGGCGGAGTTGGAGAGACTGAGAGAGAAAAACGAAAACGCGAATTCAGCTATCGACGCGTTGAACAGAAAGAAAAACGAATTGGAAAGAGACCTTAGCGATCTGAGAAAACAGCACAAAGATTTAGAGTCGGACTACGCACAAGCTCTGAATGATTTGGAAAGAGCCAGGAAGAATATCGAACAAGCAGATATGCGTTATGAAAAGGAAAGACGCGATCACGAAAAGACACAAAAGGATTTGCACAACCTTCAAAAGCAATTGGAAGGTCTGCAAGGAGAATTCAACCACTGTTGTGCAGAGCGGGACGTTCTAAAAGGGAAAGTCGCGGAACTGCACAACCGCTTGCAGGCCTGCTGTCAAGAGCTCCAGAGTGCAAGCTGGAACAAAGAAGCCTTAGAAAACGAACTGAGAAAAGTGAAAGACCAAATGAATCAAATAGTCAACGCGTACGAAGGCAAGCTCAGAGAGCAAAAATCTCGAATCGAAATGCTGGAGTCTCAGTTTGAAAATATGGAATTGAAACTGGAGAGAGCGCTTAACGATGTTAACAACCTTCAGGGTCAAGTAAGCGACTTGTTGCAAAAAAACAAAACTTTAGAGATGCAGTTAAACCAGTCGAACGATCTATTGTACAAACAGAAATTAGAGAATGGACAGTTGTCACAGAAAAACCGGGATCTCGAGCAACTGGTAAGCAGTTTGAGAAAAGAAATAGACAAACTAAAAGGCGACAAAGAAACCGTAGAGAAGCAATTGCAAATCTGCCAAGATACTTTAAATAAAATGAAATTGGAAATGAACAGGCTAGAGGATAAGTGTCAAAAGTTGCAGGAAAAATTTAACGAAATGTCACTGCAACTGAACGAACTGAGAACCCAGAATAAAGGCCTCGAGCAGATTAGAGCGGGGCTGGAGAGAGACCTGGAACGTGCGAAAGACGACAAGGGATTCTTAAAAGAAGAGAACGACGACTTGAAAAACAAACTCAGAGACGCGCTGAAAAAAATCCAAGACCTGACCGACGGAATGAAAAAGACCATAGATCAGCAAGACAGAATCGCCAAGATGTCCAAATTGTCGGACGACGAGAAAAACGGCATCGAACTTGTTAAACTCCAATTGGAAGAAGAGCTGAAAAACACTTTGAGGGAAAACAAGAGGCTAAAAGAAGATCTGAGAAAATGTCAAGACGAATTGCGCCATTTGGACAAGTGTAAAGAAAACTTGAAAGCTACGAAAGAGGAACTGGATTCGGCCTTAAAAGAGATCGAAGAGTGCAAAAATAAAGTTGACGACTTGAAAAACAAAGCCGATGAGGAAAATATCAAGAGAAGAGCGGCTGAATCGGAAATGGAAAGACTTAAAAAGGAAATTGAGGAATTGACCAAAAAATTGGCCAAGGCGGAAGGGGCTTTGGAAAACGAAAAATGCAAAACGGAAGCTTTAAAGAGAAACATAAACGACCTGACAAAAAAAATTAAAGACGGCTTAGCCGAGATCAACGCTTTGTCGTCCGAACTCGCGAAGACGAAGGAACAGCTGAGAAGAAAGGAATCCGAAGACAAAAAGAAAGTTTCCTTGGCTGGCTTAGACGGAATCCTCGACGAAGAAGAAGAAAAAGGTGACGAAGAACGTTTGCGAGAAGAAAATGAAGCGCTGAAAGAAGAACTCGACGCTCTGAAGGAAGAGGTGATGAAATTGCGGGATCAGTTTGAATCCACGAAAACCAGGGCGAAACTAGCGGAAGAAGAACTGGCGAGAGCGAACAAGAATATAATCGAGCTAAAGGCGAATATCCAGACTCTCGTCAGTGAAATGAAAGTGCTTAAAAACGATCTCAAAGACACAAAAGCAGAATTGGTGAAGTCGAAGAAAGAGTTGTCAGACACGAAAAAAGAAAAAGATAAGTTTAAAATGCAGCTAGAAAACGAACAGATGAAAGTGCGTGAACTGCAATTAGAAGTCGACTCTTTAAACAAACAGATGTTGAGTCTCGAAAAGGAATTAAGAGACAGCAGAGAACAGATAGAAGCTCTCATGAGCGATAACAAAGATTCCAATGAAGAAGTGATAAAACTATGCAAGCGTCTGAAAGAATTAGAAAAAGCGAAAGCACATTTGGAGAGAGATCTAAACACGACATGCAAAAAACTGACAAACAACCAGAGAGAATTGGACATTCTCAGGGCCAAAAACGAGGCTCTGTCAAACGCGAAACGACAGCTCGAAGAGTGTCTGGCGAAGAAGAACGTCCTGTGCGAAGGGCTCGAAGAAGACCTGAAGCTGGTCAAAGACGATCTGAACAGCATCATAAAACAGAAGGAGTCTTTGGAGCAGCAGCTGGCGGCTCGCGAACGGCTGAACGACGCCCTGAGGAACGAGATCAAGAAGCTCAAAGAGCACATCCAGGATCTGAAGAACTCGAAGCAGGAGTTGAACAGGAAACTCCAAGAGCTCCAGCAACTAGGACGGGAGAGCTTAATCGAACTGGAGCGACTCAACGGTCTCTTGACCTCCGAACAGAACAAAGTTCAAGCACTAAACAGCAGAATACAATATCTAGAGAAAGAGGGTGACTTATATAAACAACAACTTTGCAAACTCAAACAACTACTTGAAACGCTCAAAGGTTAATTCAATTGAAACTATTACTTATATAATTTAGAGAAATTTATAAGAATGATTAATTATTTCAGCTATGGAGCCACCGGATACCAAAGTAAACAGAATATTGAAGAAAATCATGCAATTTGGATATGAGGTATATTGGACTTTTATTATATTTTTGTTTAATGTCTAGTTTTTAATTAAACATGAGATTTTGTCGAAATATTTTAGGAGTGCGATCTCGGCGAATTGGCCGAAGTTCACCAAGGCGTCAGCATAGCCACCGACGCGATTGTGCAACGCTGCGACAAGTGCAAATGCCCCGGAACTGTCACGAAGGGCCAAGGTCTGGCGAAGGAGCTCGGCCGAATCGCCACCGCCGAAGGCATGGCCAGTATTAAAGGTAAAAATACTCGAATAAACTCTTTTAACAGTTTTTAGTTTTAACTTAAAAAACGATCAAATCTACAGCTTGCGACGTGGCGAACAAACTGCAAATCCTTGACGCGATGGACGACAATACGTTCGGCCTCAACGACTACCAGCCTCCGCAATCATCCTTGAAATCCATGTGTGAAAAGGCCGCTGACAAAATTGAACAACAGGTAAGTCAATTTTCGAACAACGACCTCTTACAAAACAATATTCGATAATTAACGTAGCATTTTAAAACAACAGAGATCAAGACCAAAAACGAAAGAGAATAAATCGATGCAGTTTCCCAAAGAAAATCCAAAAAGCAAAGGAAGCAGAAAATGATTATAACGCGTAAAGAAATATGTCAAAAAAAAGTAAAAATTGTGAAAGTACTCAAATAAAATTTGTTAATACGGTGAATTATAGGATTTTTAGCTAATTTAATAATAAGCACTACTAACAGTATAAAATTCAAAACTAGAACAGGGTTTTTAACATTAAACAGGACATTAGAGTGTAAATATTTAAGTGTGTGGTGATTAGTGTAATAAATATTTAAAGAGAAAAGAGAAACAAGAAAAAAGATAGAAAGAGAGAGAGAGAGACAGACAGAGAGAGAGAGAGAGAGAGAGNGAGAGCGAGAGAGAAAGGAAGAGAATGGAGCAGCGGCGTATCAAGCCGAAGGTCGTGGGTTCGAATCCCGCTCGTGACACTGAATTTTTTATCGCAACTTAAAACCTTAATTAATTGAATATTATTTATATAAGTTGGGCAAGAATGGCTTATTCAATTTTTTTATAAAGTATTTTTAGTAATTTGGTGACAATCATGTCTTTATTAACATAAAAATATAAAACAATATTAAATACAAAATAAAAAAATTCAAGAAGAAAAAGCGTCAAAGCAGTGAATAGTCTCATTAATGGCTCGACAAACATCAATTTTTATTATTTATTTGAAGGATTCCTTTGTACCTGAGGTCGTATGAAAAGAATAACCTTTTTGGTAAAACTAACGGTTTTAGTTTCAATGAGCACCCAGTCCGCCTGGGAACGTTTCGTGTTAATAGACGATCCAAGGACCAAAGCTCATGCGTTCGATCATGATCTGGCTCTAATCGGCCGCGGTTCGACACGTCGAGTCGATATTATCTCCTCGATCAATAAGAGCCAAGAGGTGTAGGAGTCCTGGACGGAGGACGCGGTCCCTCGGGTTCTTGAATATCGGTTGGACTCCTGGAAGGAACCGGTCCTGTCCCCTCTCTTCGACCCCAGGACGATTGAGTGGGGTGGGAAGGGGGCATTCTCCTAGTCCTGACCCCCGTCCCCTTCACTCGCAAGCGGTAGAGGTCCCGTGGAATTCGTGCCGATTCCGTTGTTGCCGGATTTTGAGACCAATCTGTGTGCGCTCTTTTTGGAAACTCGGAGTTAATTGGTTTACCGGGAGGCGGAAAGTGAAAAAAAAAACGAAATGAAACTAAGGTGAGTGTCAAAACTTTAACTATTAACTTACATATACTGTAATATTTTTTCCACTCTTAGATTTAGTGTGAAACATTTAAAACGGTAGTAAATTTAAGCATAATTGCTAAGCCAAACCACTTATCCTGAAGATTTTTTAATTGACTGGAGTGAACTCAACCTACAGAAGTTTCTTTGTCTACGATCTGACAAGAAAACTGACGAAAACACAATATTCATTTTTACCACTTACCAAGTAGATACACTAAAGACACTTGGGTTTTAGCTTCAAAAACTAACTTAAAGTTATAAAGAAAAACATTTCTTCAGAGAGGCTGTTTGTCTACAAATAGGAGCGTTCCTCGGCCCGACTTATGGTTTGGATCGGGAGGGGGTGCTCAAACGGTCTTCCTACTCTTTACGACGTTATTCGAAAAATGTTTCTACGATTGCGGCTTTGGTTCTGTTCTTTTTAGACTGGAGCAGGGTGAATCACGTGCCGAAGATCGTGTGTGGGTCCGGCTGTTCTCGCCTTTTTTCAGGTCGAACACGCGACTCTGTGTGGTTTGTGTTTACCTCCTTCCAGAATAAACTTTGAAACAACCGAGAAGATGGCGGAGACTTTTATTTTTAATCGTATCGCATGTATACACATAGAATATAGGTCATAAGCTGTCGGATGGTACAAATCGTCTAGATGGTCAAGAAGATTGTGAGGACCCTTTCGTAATGTCTTCACGAGGTGAAAAGCGTTCTCAGTGAACAATACCTCGTTCGGTTTAGAGGAGAGTCCTAAATGTGCCGCATTGTCCGAGACGGGATCTCCGAAGAATGGACGGTCCGTCGAGGGCGGCAGTCCATATGGAGAATTACGGGCTCCAGATACTATTGTCGCTTTTTCTACCTGGCCGGCCCTTTCACGAGGTCATTCCCTAGAAATCGGCCCGTCCAAAAATGAATAACTCCTAGGATCGCCTTCTCTGTGGGAGGGGACTGCAGAATCCTTACACCTCCCCTAATTATGTTTATGGGAACTGATGAATTATTCAAGAGGCCCCCGCCGGAGGATAGTGGGTACCCAGGAGATTTTTTTTCCACGAGCCCATCTTAAGCCTATCAATTGATGTTTATCCATCCTTTAAATAGGGGATTTTTTTTATATTGGTTATATTGGCTATAACGGCCAATATCAGTTTTGCATGATAAGATAACCTTATGATCGTCCTAGAAACTCCACCTCAAAAGATATTCTGACAAATTTTAGAAGAAAAAAAATAGGCTATTTGCTTTGATTGAATAAGAGTAAAACCTGTTTCGTATATGGGAAAAATCAACTGAACATCACTAGAATGATGATCGAATAAATTTATTTTTTTCCTTCCTAATAATAGAGCAGGATTCAAGTATGATCAACGATCTTATAATTTTTCCATCCAATACTTGCACTGGACATAAATTCAAAGGTAATCTGCTAGAAATGATTTTCATTCTATTTCGTCGTAAAAAACCACAAGGCGATCAATCATCTCCGATATAATTGATATCAGCCTTCAATTTTATAAATTTAAATTAAAAATTAGGGATAAGACCAGTTTGAAAGAACTTCCCTCATAGAATTTGCAAAGAATAAATCGTCTTTATCAGGTATCTATAAAGAAAAGGCTATTAATACAAGTTAACAAATATTAACAAGGAATTAAAATATTGAACCTTGTGAAATTAAAAATTGATTTTACAGTACTACAGCTTATCATTATAAACTATTACTAATAGTTTTATAAACATGATGAAGGAAGTTTATTCATCGATAACTCGACAAATGAAGTTTTTTTTTTTAAATTATCCCCAACCTTGATTTTTACAATAAACTATGCTTTTTATTTACTTGGACCTATTTAACCAAAGTAACGATTTAAATTGATCTATATTTTTATCTATAGCGTGTTTGAGATGCAAAATTAGTGTCACGAATGGGACTCGAACCCACGACTCCCTTCTCAATACGCTGCCCCACCACTTTCTCGACTCCTTTCCACCGGGCACATATCATCTCAACCTAAGACTTTTTCCAATTTCTCTCTTTTTATTCAGTTGCTTGATTTTTATTATACAATTAGGTATGGATGGTCGTTCAGGTAAATTGCGAGAACAGTCAAGACAGTATGAACAAAATAGAAAAACACTTAACGATAAAAATCTTTTCATTACCAGCCATTGTTCAAAAAGGAAGAGCCAAGTCTCATCGTTATTGCAAGTCAGAATACCGGAAAATTTTATGCGTACCATTTTCCAGTAGAGTATATATTAAAATAATTACAGAATGTCAGCAAAAAATTCCTTAACCCGAACAATTTTGGTTGTGTAATCAGAGGCTTAGAGAAAATAATCGACGGTATACGTGAGAGCTTAAGGGTTTAATTGCTAGTCGGCCATTTTGTACAAGAATAGAAAACCAGTATATTTACTAGTTTTATCGCCTGATGCTGATCGGTTCTGAAGGAATAGTTGAAAAAGAACGTTTAAAATGTTTGAAAACCCTTTTAGCCCTGCGTCAAGACTTTTTCTTTGACATCTGTGTTTACATTTTAAACCTAAAAGCTTTCGGACGTCCAGATGCGGCCGGGCCATCGCCTTCCGTAGAGTGTAAACTGGAAAGTCAAAGGGATTGTTGTCAAACGGGGGACTTTGACGCGATGGGCTTTTCGACCGGTTGACGAAACGGAGTTCTCGTCTTTTTAACAGGGAGATTTGTATCCTTTGTCAAAACGTGCCGGTTGAAAAAAAAATCCATTCTGATGTGCCAGTCCTACTCTGGAATCAAGATAGGGATCAGGCATTTCTAATGGACTCTTGAAACTTTACACATTTATTTTCGAAGAATCTCACAAGGCCATCTGATCATTTTAATATATGAAAATGAAATAGTGTGGGCGAAAATTGGAGTGATCTGAGTCTAAACTACACCGACTTAATGACCAGCGGCTTTTAACCCAAACGAGGCTAAATAAGTTGAGAAAGATTGTAGTAAAATCAACAGAATTTTTCTCATTTCAACTCGGTTTAAACATATTTTTTGTTTAAATAGGACAATCCCTAACTATTTTATTAGTGTATATCCAGTGGTGGATTTGGTTTCGGTAATTTATGATCTAAGATAGATAGACTAAGTAGGTAAATAAATTGACAGATAGATCCTGATATAGTCGCTGGTTTGGTCCGTCAGAGCAAAAATTCTTTGACATTTTAGCATCTTCAGTGTTGGATTTGTTCGTCTATATTAGAGATCATAATGGTTATTCCATCTACCTAACTGTCAACTTCTCTATCCAGAAAAAGTCAAAATTTACCTACCTCAATTGACATAAAACATGAACTATTTCCAGAACTTTTGTCAAAAAAATTTACATAATGTAACTATCAAACAAAATTATTCTTTGTATTATCTGAGGACAAAAGGAAAATTTGTTCTGTCTAAATGAGTCACATTTTATTTTCCGCGTTTTCTAATTTATTCTGCAAAGTCTCAATACCGATAACGAACATCGATCAGCGGAATAATAAAGACTAGGGGTAGAAATGTTAAATTCTTCAAAACATTGAAACAGTTGGTTGCTTAACATTAGTCACGTTGACCGTTTAATGACTTCGACACATGAATTTATTATCTTTTTTTTATTACTGATAATTATATTGCTTGTACTGCGATAATTTAGGCAACAATAAATTTTTACATTTTTTCTTGGGGTTCTGTGGAGTGATGAACCTGTAGTTAGGTCGTTACCGATCAACTTTCGATACAATTTTTTAAAAAATTATTCATGAACACTGAAGTAACTGCGAACTATACCTTAATATCATAAATTTACATTTCGCTGGGTTCTTTTAGCCCATGATCATTACAGTAGATTACAAGACCACATAATTCAGAATTCATGATTTCTATGTCATCGTTTATGCTATCCATTTTCGACTATACTAATATGTCCAAATCATCATACATATTAGATTCTTTTCAATTAATTAAGGTTTTGGTTGAGATAAAAAAGTCAGTGTCACAAGCGGGATTCGAACCCACGACCTTCGGTTACTCTACCACTTGAGCTATCGTGACTTCGATCCTCTCGGACACTAACTTCCCATTTTTCAAATGTCGTGTAATCTATTTGATTCTCGGCGACAAATGACATGGCCACGGAGAGGTTTATTAAAGTATACTTCATTTTCAATTTAAAAAAAAAAAAAAAAAAAAAAAAAAAAAAAAAAAAAAAAAAAAAAAAAGTGGGGTTGAGACTTTTTTACTTGAACTATATACTTGGAAGTTGGCACTACTTGGAAGTTAGTGTCTGAGTGGATCGAAGTGACGATAGCTCAAGTGGTAGGGAAGCGGCGAATTTAGCCGAAGGTCGTGGGTTCGAATCCCGCTCGTGACACTGACTTTTTTATCTCAACCAAAACCTTAATTAATTGAAAAGAATTTATTTGGTCAAGCGTACCACGAAACGTAATAAATATACATATTAAAGTAATATTTCTTGAAAATCTCAAAAATCCCGTTTACATATAGTGTGAATAATAGAGTTGATAAAGTAGAACCTTGTGGGACACCAGTTTTTAATTTTCCCCATCCAGAAAATGTATAACTCATGGTTCTAACTTTTTGAAGTCTGTTTTTTAAAAAATATGTTCTAAACCATTCTAGTCCATTTTGAGAAAAGTTTACATATTTCAAACTGGCTAATAGCAAATCATGCTTCACACTATCTAAAGCTTGACTAAAGTCGACAGTAGTCAAGTAAGTAAGCATACTTTACTGTTATCGAAATCTTTATGAATTTCATCGAGCAAGTTTCTTAACGCTGTTTCAATACTGTCCTTAGACATATTGAAATCTGTTTATTAGATTATATTGTTTTACATATGTATTAATTCTTTTAAATATTATTTTATCTAAGATCTTTGCTAATGCGCACAAAATATTAATTAATCGAAAGTCTGAAAGAGAAAAAATCTGTATTACAACC